TTATCATGTTATCGGTAAAAGTGCACGGCGACGACGGCAACGACGGCGACGACGGCGACGGCGACGACAGACGCAGATGATGGCTATATGTACAGACACATCTGTGTCTGTACATAAAAAGTGAAGGCTTTGAAAATAGGTCGCCAAACTATCAAAGAAATCTCATAAACAGTTCATAGAAATAACAAAAAATACATGGTTAAGAACAACATGGCATGGAATAGCGAGCCAGAGATAACTCCATTGGTTTGGACCCATGCCATGTAAATCTGAAACAGCGGTACTCCGTGAAACATGGCATGGAACTCAATTTTTGGAAGAGAAAGACAAAAGGCATCATGACACACTACATACATTAAAAATGATTGGGACAAAGCACGGCCATGGATTTTTGGGTGGCAAGGAGTAAAGGAGAATAGAAGTTGAAGGCAGTAGCTGTATCAAAATGCCCCAATGACCACAAGGCCATGCTAATACTTATTACTCAGCCTCAGCATTATATAGCATGTACACACTATGGTATTGCTATTGTCAATAAGCTGGGATTTTTATAAATGTGTGTTTTCCAGATTGAACCACTTACCCGATTAGTACCCTGCTAACAAAGAAACAAAACTGTACAAACTTTTAAGTGATTTGGGCAATAGGATACTCACAATGTCTCTTAAATCTAATGAACTCACATCTCCTCATATACACAATGGGTATAAATCTGCACATGCCACTTCACTTTCTTTATGATGTCATCAATAAAGCAATTTCAAAGGATGAAAAACATAAAATCACATCAAAACTAGAAATGATTTTTTTATCATTTGATAATATATATTTGCTCATAGAATGGCAAAAAAAAAAGATATACTTCTACCTCTACCTTCTATCTCTCACCTTTTCATCAGTGGTAGTTAGAAAATGAATGAAAGTTTCACTCCTGCTAACTACAGGATGTTTGACTAGACGATCTATCCACTCTTGTAACTGGCGCATCCTTTCTTGAATGAATTCTTCTTCAAAACGACCTAAGAATAAAGCACAAAACTTGGAGGCAAATTCCCAGGCATTTCGATTCTAAAGGAAAACATCATGTATACAAAACAGCAAATGACAAACAATCAGGATTGGAAAATGAACACTGATGAAATATTCCTGTAATTGGGAGTTTTGTTAGCATTAGCCTCAAAGATGCCTCACCAAAGCAAACCATTTCTTCTGATAGTTTTACACTTTTATTTTTTATTGTTACCTTAAAGTTTTCTAACTTGCAATGAAAAGAAGGAAAATTTATGAGGCAGTTTTTCAATATTCACAATGAAATATATTAATAATATATAAATAGTTTTAATATGAACTCTTTCTTATTATAACACCAAATACAAAACAGAAAGACAAATTGCACCAAAGATGGACTAGCATAGATGTATTTCAAGTATATGTAAAATATCCATAGAGCCCTGTAGGTACTGTTTTGACAGGTGCCCCTACCTGTGACCTGCTTGTCTGGTAAAGGTGGGACCACAATACATGGGAATTTAATCTCCAGTCTTTTATGCAACCAATCAAACTGTTTATATCTTCTGCTCACTTGAATTCCACTAAACTGAAACATGTGAAAAACAATTTTAATTCTTTGTCTTTATATTTGTTTAAAACACAATGATAATGAACATTATTGATTTTTTACAGCTACTAGCATAAAATAGGAGGAACTTTCATTTGCCATCAATATCTAATCCAAGTCTGATCACTGTCTAGGAGTATGCTCACCGTAGGTGTTATCTGGTATGCAATAAAACTTTTCATCCCTTTAAACTTGCTCTCCTTCTTTGGTGAGGCAACATTACATGTAAAGGGATGTGGGTTAGGCTCCCACATAAAGCCTTCACTTGTTTCCTGCAAGTAGTTTTATGATCAAAAGTTTGATTTCTTGTAAAATAAAAGGATATTTAAAGAGTGAAAAAGTGATTTTTATAAAGGTTTGTAACTCAATTTTTGTTTCAATCATCCAATGAAAGAAATAAGCATATACCATTTTAAGAAAAACCACATTTTATGAAAGATAATCCCTTTCTTGAAATCAGAATCAAGAAATTGCAACTCACAATTATTTTCACCATTTCATTTTCAGGCACCCTAGCAACTGAAGTTGTTCCTAACATAAAGGCTTCTCCACCAGTTTTGACAAATGTGGAAAATCTGAAAACAAATATAAACTCAATTATTTTGAATCAATTATTTTCAACATATCAAAATAATGACCAAAACTGTTTATTAGAAAATTAATCTTGGATTTTAATATATTAGATGTACATTTAAATATATAATTATGTAAAAACTATTGCCTTAAGGAAAAAAATTGCATTAAACTGGTTCCTCTTCCATTAATATAAATGTACACTCCTGATTCTAAACATTTTATAGGGATTTTGTTGCCCAAGGGCATTCATGTTACTAAAAAGGACTTAGAAAGCAGCTGCAGCTATTTTAAATGATGCACCCAAACTAATAAAAATACATACAGCACTTTTACTGGAATAACAAGTCTTGCTCTTTGAAGAATTGATGACGAAAACTCTTGCTAAGGGAGTGATTTAACACACAAATAAGTACAAACATTTTCAGGTTGTTTTTGCCTGAATGCTACATATTAAGAGTGGGTCAGACATATTCTAACTGGATTCAACATTTAGCTTTACAATAATATGAATGTAGAAAAAAATCAGTTTTTTTTTCCAAATATGCCAACATGATTTCATTTTGATTTTTAGCAACAAATAAAATCTTTGCCTTCTTTTTTCAACTTAATAGTGTAGACAACATAAATTGTTTAGCAGAAAAGTGATTTATTCATTTACCTTTTACCAAGGCCAAAAAATAACAGACTGTTGGTTGCAATTTTCATTAGAGTGTTGCATTTTTAAGAAGCATTTCCCTAACTGCTGTGATGGCTGATAAACTATACATGTACAATCAATTGATGGCAACACACATGGTGCCTTTTAGCTAACAACTCATAACATACATCCTACCTGTTAAATCCTTTCTTTACTGTTCCAAATTTGGAAGGATCAGCCGACTGGCGATTGATTCTGGAAGATCCTGCATCAGCTTGGCCTCCTGTCTGGAGGGAAGAGAGAGAGAGAAAGAGATTAATATCTTTAATGACAGACTGCAAAAGTTTGGGTTATTCCACATGTTTAATTTGTTTCTGGAGAAAGGCTCCGTATCAGCTCAAATATCATCAACAAACACTGAAGCTGTGATAACTTATGTACATTAGTTAGAATGTCTAAGCACAGCTCCCGCTTACAAAACAAATCAGATATCCAACCAATTGCAATGCTCAACAGCTACCATGAAACATTAGGATTTGGGACACTATCATACCATCAAATCAAAGAAAAAGCCCAATATGTGAGATAAAACTGAGCACAAGACATTTGGCAGTTCTGTTTTCATTCAATGAAAAAAAAAACAAAACAAAAAACAACCAAAACATTCATTCATCTTTCCTACCTGTTCTGTTGTGGTACTTGAGGCATCATCATCATCATCCCAGTCATCATCCCAGTCATCAAAGCTTTCCTGGGTCTGAGGTATATTACTCCTATCTTGATTGTAGTCATGGTACTGCTGCTGCTGTTGTTGTTGTTGTTGTTGATGGTATTGTTGTTGTTGTTGATATTGTTGCTGTTGGTACTGTTGCTGCTGCTGATGTTGTTGTTGTTGTTGATAGTTGTGCTGTTGGCCCGTATCCTGATAAGGAATATGGTGCATGGACTGCCTGGGTGCGTCTGTGGTATATTGTAAGGCATTGTCCTGTTCAAACCCTGGGGGTGGTGGAGGGAGGGGAATGTTGGGTTCTGGTACAGAGTCCACCTAGAATACAATTATACAGGCTGTCTCAACAAACATCCTTTAATTTCAACATTTCGTAAGACTTGTAATATGCATGGTTATCTTAAATATATTAACATTGGTTGTGATTTAAAATTCTGTATGCTTCAATAAAATTGTAAATATATGGATAAATGTAAATCAATTGCCTAATTGTCAAAAACCACGCAACTGACCATTTATTGATTTTGTTATCAGATATCATATATTAGGCTAAGCCTTTTATTACCTCAATCTCCACATAAGCCTCAGGAATCAAGCCCTGTTCCCCATGTGAATTCCTGGCCTCCCACCACCCTTCCCCTATGTCCTGAAAAGAAGGAAATACCTCCATTGAAACAAGTAGATATTATGACAGGCCTTTACAGTGTACTTTATCAAGAGAAAAATAGTGGAATAATTTTTCTTCAGTTATTATATATTTATTTTAATTTTTTTTTTTTTTTGCTTTGATAAGAATACCATGACTGCAGCAGCTTAATGATATAGCATTGATG